AACTCGAATTTCAACTTAGTTATTAAGCAATATTTTGAAATGGTTCCATTTTTGATTGGTAGCCCATTGGAACACTTAACCGTTCGAAAAGAAAAATTACGATCTTTGTACTTGATTTTAGCATGAAATTACGAAAAATTTTCTCTGTATATTAACATAGTTGTCTTCTACAATCTTTTGATGAAAAATCAAAGCGGCAATGATGTTTTTTGTCATTAACAGATAGTTACAGGTACATAGCTTTTGTCAAAAATAACAAGCATCGGTCAAATTGTGACTTACTTTGAAGCTTCTAAGTTGTACACCAATATCGAATATGCGAATATACTATTAGTAATGGGGAATGACACATTAACATAGCAGAAGGTGTAAGAACTTAAGCCAACAGGGGCTAGAAACACTGTGGTGGACTAGTGGACGACAATAAATATTCAAGTTCCAGACACAGATAAACAGGTATCAGAGTTAATTGCGGCAGAGCCTTCCAGGGGCACTCAGAACATTGCACCACAACTGACTTTCCCAGGCACCAAATAATTACCCAGGAAAGGCTACGTTCGTACCCCGTATGTAAGATACACAGAACACAAGAACACATTAAACCTCTGATACTGAACACCGGTACAAATTAAGCAGGAGTTAATGAAAAGAATACGAAAAGCTGCTCGAGAACAGTGCACAATAAGGTGATGATTGCCCTAATTAGTTTGATTAGATTTTGAATTTTCTAATAATTATCTTAAATATCTCAATATTTATTGGCCTGACGTTCAAACTGACAAACTTTGTCAGTCTCCAAAATATAGAACAACGATCGAGATTAAACTACTGAGAAAAGCGAAAAGTTACTGAATATTTAAGTAACAGTGATTTAGAGATGGAAATGGGATTTAAAGAGGAAATGGATGGAATCCCAACTGAACTTAGAGATGAGAAAAATAAAAATGTTGAAAACTTTTAAAAATTTCATTATTTTTCTAGGTACTTGTTTTTATATTATTATTATTTAATTAAGTTAGTAATTAGTTAGTAATTTCTCATTAGTAGAATGGAGTGAATTATTCTGATTTCTCAGGTAAGTAGCACAGCAAACGCACTACTTCTCTAAAAATGGCTTTAAATTATATTTAGAGTTATTAACTGTTCGATTTAATAAAGATAATGCTAAAAAATATTTTCTGAAAGTAGTGCACCAGTCTGAAAATGATTTCATATTATTAAATTAATAGGTACTTATCAGCGGCAATCTAACATGAGATAGTAGACGTATGCATGCACTTTCACCACGAGGTGCGTTTGTTGCTAATCTTATCGCTATAATGTCAGTAAACAATTCGGCAGGCTATGCGTTATTGTTGTTGTTGATGTTTTTAATAGAAAAAACTAGTTCGGCATGCATACGCGATATTAGTTTCAAGTTTGAAAAAGTTCAAGAAAAAAATATACCAAAATTTTTAAAGTTTAAAGTAAAAGTCAAAAGTAAAAGTTTAATTTTCCTATAATTTCTTAGACACTATTGTGATACAATGTTCTGTTGGGATCGTTGAAAATAGTATTAACCCAGAATGGAAGTTAGCACAGAGTTTCTTAACGATGTATAGCGGTAGATCTGGGGCTCAACACCTTCAAACGAGCTTTCTGATAAGATTTGTCATGCAGACATATCCACAAAACGTTTATACTTAAAGATGATCAATATTTCAAATAAAACTAATGCTTATTTACGGTTTTTACAAAGATTTTATTTTTGTCTAAACGCAGAGTTAAACAACAATGCAACAACCTGATGCACGTTGGAAGCATATTAACGCTGATTACAAGTCATGCCTGGCTCAAATCTTGGCATGAAATTGTGGGTAAAACAATTTCTTACCATGTTGGCTGTTGGCCTACAAATCCGACAGAGAAAAGCATTTTTTCCGCAAACACATATTCCTGGCTTGAATGCATATTCCATTTGATAGACATAAACACATTGTTCCTGTTTGTCAGGTTAGATTGTATTTTAAAGCGAATCATTCTATAAAAATGTACGGAAAAAGAAACAAAACTTTTGGCAATTACAACTTAACACAAACTAATTTTAAGTTAGTAGATTCCTATTTAAGGTTAGTGTGTATTAGATGACATTGTATTGAGAAAATTCAAAATATATAGGTGCCGCAGTATTTCGACGATTACTAAAATAGAAAATTCAAATAGACATGAAATTTGCATATAATCTGTATTAGTATTTGTATAAAGCATAGTTGCCCAAATATTTAAATTGTTTCTAGTTATAGCTAAAGATAGACTAGTAATAGCTGAAGGTAGCTGCTGCGGTAAATTTGCTTGTAGCAATCGCATTAAAACCGTACACAAAGGTTCACTCAATAATAACTCATAAGTTAATTTAGATTAAATTTTTTACTGTCTTGATTCATAATTAAAACAGTATTTGTTTCGACCCTACTTAAACCTTTAAATACTTAATAGGATGTAGAGAGTTTAATAAGTATAAAGTGACTGTCAGGAGTAGTGTCTAAATTAAAATTATAATTTATTAATTCAATCTAAGTTCAAATTTAATAACCTTAAAATCAAATGATGACAGCAATGGAGGAGTTGGAATATTAATAAATAAAAACTATCGACAAACCTGAAAATCCTGAAAACAATATCTGACAGAGTAATATATGTCGTAATCAACATAAATAAACATATTACGCTAAAATATATACAAACTTATATTCCAACTTGTTCACATGAATATGACGAGTTGGAAACGATATACGAAGACATAGCGAGAGCAATAAGAGAGAACCCAGCGACGCATCAGTATGCGGACTTTAATGCAAAAATAGGCAGGTTAGCAGAACCAACTGAAACACACATAGGACAGTTCGGACTCGGTACCAGAAATGAAAGGGGAAAATGTTAGCAAACTTTCTAGAAAGAGAAAGACCTTATCTGATGAACAGTTGCTTCCAAAAGAGAGAAAGAAACGCAAATTGACATGGAATAGTCCAGATGGACAAACAAAAAATGAGATTGACTTTATAATCGTTCTCCATAAACACATAATCCAAGACTTACTCATAAACACAAAAGTAAAGACTTCGACACAATATAAATCTGAGCAATAATGAAATCATTGAGAAATGCTAGAGTGAATCAACCTTATATAAACCGTATTGTAAACATCTATAGGGATTTGACAATGTCGATAAGACTTCATGAATCATCTAACAAAACAAACGCCAAAAGAGGAGTTCGGTAGGGGGACGTAATATCTCCAAAACTATTCATTTTAGTACTCGAGGACATTTTTAAAAGGCTGCAATGGCAAAGCAAAGGATTGAACGTACCTGGTAAACGCTTGCACAATCTAAGATTTGCCGACGATATTGCCCTATTTGCAAGAGATAAACGGGAATTGACTGATATGTTGAAAGAACTACAGAATGAGGCTGCAAAGGTAGGATTGCACATGAACTACACAAAGACCCATTTTATTACAAATACACCAGATGCAGACGAAACAATACCGATTCATGTCAGCACCAATAAAAAGGACAGAAACATACATACACCTTGGTCAAGGTATAACAACGGGCAAGCAAAATCAAGAAATGGAGATTGATAGGAGAATTACACGGGGATGGGTGGCCTACGGCAAATTAAAGGAGGTACATCTTCAGCATGAATATTTCAATGACTTTAAAAAGAAAAGTCTATAACGAGGGTATACTGTCTGCTGTCACATATGGTTGCGAGACTGGGTAATAACCAGAAAGATCAAACATAAATTGGTAAAAAAAGTACATCAGAGAGCCAGGGAAAGACGAATTTTAGGAATTTCTCTGGGAGATCACAAAACAAATACATCGATAAGGGAAAAAACAAAAGTCTTCGACATAAATGAATTGGTTCCCTAAAATGACAATGGGCAGGGCACGTGGTCAGACATACAGAAAACTGGAGCGGCTATATCATCAAATGGAGATCTTGGGAAGAGAGGAGAAGTGTTGGAAGACCCCAGCAAAGATAGGCTAAAAATAGGAAGTTGAATTCAGTAAACTGTCTTTTGGAAAAAAGCTCGGACCTGTGAATAGACAAATTAATAAATTGGCAAATGCAATTTTTTATACCAAATTTACTCATACAGGGAGGTCCAAAAATAAGCTACGACCATCGACATTTTTTGTTCAACCTATTCATTATTGCAATCTTGTCAATCTTCAAACAAGTCCTATACTTAAACTCAACAGAACTCGAGGCATTTACGAGGAAAAAAATATTTACAAAAATGACAAAGTTGCAATAAGAGCTTGTTGGCAGTCTTGGATATCGTCGTCAAGACGTAAATGGCACACATTATGAACATTTAATTTGATAGTAAATTCCTCTTCAACTGTTGAATTTCAGTGTAGCACATGCTACCTGAATCCGACTTAGACTTCAAAGTCGAAATAAAAAGCAGATGCTTTGGTTTGCAAAAACAAGTTGGTGGCCGTAATTTAGTTTTGGACCATCCTGCATAAATAAATTTGGTAAACTCAAATTTACGTATAACATTTGACGGGTCCGAGCATTTTCCAAAAAAAAACAATCCACTTAATGATAAACTAGTTGACGCTAGACTTAACCCGGTTGACGCGATCTGATAGGTCCGAAACGTTACAACCAAAAACCTATACTAACAACGCATTTTATACTGGTAACGTCAAAAAGGTTTTGTTTTTTATATGAAAATGATGCTGCCCATATTTTTTTTATATTAAAATGCAATCTTTAATTGTAACCTATTTTTTCGGGTCCTTATGTACTCCATTCTTTAGTACCTACTAAGGCAAAGTGCATTTTTTGGTTTTACCTATTTTAAGTAGGATTAGTTTGCTCTGCGATTAAACTTTTCTGATTCATCCTAACGGAACGGAATTAAGCGTCCGTCTGGCAGCGCTGGAGGATTCCCTGATGATTTCATGTCTTGCAGAGAAATTGAGGTTAAATTTACTCACCTTCTTCATGATGCCAGTTTTTCGCTTGGAAAATGTGGTGTATCGCCGTAGTTTGTTTTCGATATACTCCATCTTGATCTTAACGCGTCCTTTGGTCTTTTTGCCATTACTGGGCGGAGATTTTTTCGACTGAAGCGAACTGTAGGGCTCGTCATGCATGTCGTTTACACCGCTAGAATCGAACCCCATAGTATGTTGAGGAGTAATTCCGCGATCATCGTAGCACCCGTCCGATTTAAGTCCACCCCGGGTGCTACAGGCACTAGACACCATGGTGTGCCGAGGTGAAAGTTGTTGCAAACTTGTGGACGGCCGGCCCAAACCTCCACCATAAATTTCGGGAGGTGATTCTCCGCTCAGTAAGTTCATACTGTAGCCTAATTGAAAACGGGAATCTCTCCCGCCAGGAGGCTCCATTTCGCACCACAGCTTGGGAATATAAACAAACACACGTCACAGAAAAGGAGCGTAATAAAATACGCAACTACGGAATCACAGCTGAGGGCACGAACGAGTATACGGTTACCCTCGCGACACTACAACGAAGACTGTACCGCCCAGCGCTCTCCAACGGCCAATGCTTACACTATGAATATGCGCAGGCGTCTATGACAGACGTGCCGTGCTGTTCTATCTTTGACGCACTAATGAACTATCGGCGCTCCTTCTTTTGTAAGTACTTTCGCACCTGCTATCGGTAACCTGACCTAACAAGCCTGTAGTTTTATTTAGTTTAATGCGAATATCCAAAAATATACTAAAATTTGCTATATTTTTAACTGACATGCAGTTCCCCTCGCCTCAAATCATGCTATCGTGTACAGTAATCACCAATAGCTACTCTGAGTCTCCCACAATCGTTTGATAGTAGCGTAAAAGTGGGATGTAATATTACATACTCTGGGACAGCCCAATACCATATTTAGAATCGAGTCATGCCATACAAGGCAAAGATATCCCTAAATGGTGAAACGAAATCCCTCCTTCATTGTCGGCATAGTGATCAAAGAGGTATTATGCGTGTGTATTGTGCACGCGCAAACGTTTCTTACGGTGGCAGCACCCGCTGTGCTCCTGGGGATTTTAAGCACCCACTGTCATCTGAATACAAACTTTAACCCATTTAAACATGAAATTATAATTTCTTCAATTTTAAATATAGGTATATATTTTTTGTGATTAATAATAATTTTACGGCTCTTAATTCTGATTTTTTTTAAATAGAAACAACTCATTTGCTAGAAATAGTGTTTTTAAGACGGTTGGTGTATGCACTGCAGATAGGTAGATAAACACTTTTATTTCAAACAATTTACTTCGATACGCAGTAATTATGTTTATACACGTCAACAGATGTATGGTCTCGGCACACAGAAGACACTAAATATTTTAAACTTGTGTATTAGTATTTCTTTCAGAATTTGTGTATTAGTACCAAGTTTACATTGCAAACTGTTAAATAATTTTATGTTTTATGCTAAGTAGATGTATTGCTTTTCAGTTAAGACTAATTTATGTCGTGGCAAGTTATGTTTAATTTAACTACTCGTTGTGTTGTAAAAACTGAAGTTAGGTAATGTGAAATTGTAAATGTTATTTTTAATTTATTTATTTTTAAAAACATAATAAAGGGTTATTCACGCTATACGGCACGGAAGTTTGCTGCTGAACCGTTTGATTTTTAAAAAGTATTATTTTATGAATTGTCCGACGCCTACCGAGCGCACATTTTAAAAATATTTTTGTAATGTACAGGGTG